TATATTGGGATACAAGTTTTAAAAAAAAAACAAAACGTAAGTTGAGTGCAACATCAAGATTACATAAGCATAGCTTAATTTTGAATATGAAAAGCTTAATAAATAATTGCAGTCATTAATGTTTTTAAATATAAACAAACTTTACTCATAAATACAAGAAGTAATAAATCATGAGACATGGCTAAAAGCCTTTTAAGACTGCTTCTTTCAAAATGCAGCATATCAACTGCTTAAAAAGATGTAAGATTCCTATAAAATGCTGGAACACAGCAATTGAAGCACTGCTTTTCTTAGAGCTTGTAAAAATACCATTTAACCTAAAAGCTTTGGTAAGCGCATCAGTCAGCTAAACAGCATCAAAAAAACTGGTCACCAGTCAGCACATCTTCAAAAACAAAGACAATGTTTGGGGCTACTGTTTCAGGGTAAACGTAGAGAAGGAGGACTTAGAATAAAGGACCACTTACCTTATTTGCCTCACTACTACCCCAATTTTCCTTAAATATTTTCTTCTTCAGCACATGTCCCTAGCTTTTATAAATATCATACTTTTAGTGAAACCTTCACTCTTGCTACTGCCGTGCCTGCCTATGTTCTTACATTGGTTTTGCACCTGTGGGTTGTTAAATTCAGTGACGTAAACTAAGAATTTCTTGATTCACTCTAGAGCAAAGAAAGTCAAAAGGGCACCTCCAGCCAGGAACATTACTATGATGAGTGCATTTAACACTAAACTATCACAAATATAGTGGACACAAGAATCTAACAACAGATTATGCCAAAACAATACAGAAAAGTGTCTAATTTACAACTCAGTTTATCACTGTACATGAGAAAAGCAGGTCACGTATGCACACAGTATTTTATATTGACTGTTCAATTGTCAAGCCTATGTTTATAAAGTCCACAAATAGCACCAATTTTTGGAGGAATGGTGAGCACTTTGAAGGATAGGATTGTAGTTCAGAACTTTCTTCATAAATTCAACAAAGCTCTACACTTAGAAGGAATAAAATGCACAAATAGAAAATGAGGAATCACAACGTAGGCAGCAATACATGCAGGAAAGGATTTAGGAGTTAATCATGGACTCCCTGTACAATACTGAGATGCTCCTGCAATAAAAGCAAGTTGCATACACTTAGAGAATTCTGCATGAAGACAAGGGAAACAATTATGATACTCCAAAGGATTATTTTATCTAAATTCTATATGATTTTATGCTTGGGGTCCAGATTGACTATTGTGTATAATTCTGGGGAATATAAATAAGATTGAAGTCTCAACTTGACTGCCGAAATGGCAAAATTGAAAAAAGATGTCCTAAAAATGAAAATATGAACATTTTAATAAGAAACAGGTAGAGAGTGTGTAGAATTGGAGACAGAATAAGGGAAACTTTCAGAATAACTCTCTCATAAGATATCACGAATATTCTTAATTTAGGATTATAATCTGATAAGAGAACAATTTAACCATTATTACTGAAGGCTCAGTCTAGACGTTAGTAAAAGCTCTACAAAGTTTTCCTTAAATTTTTTATAAAATATAATAAATTGAAGTGTTTAAACAGGCAACTTAGATAAATTTTTCGTTGTTGTTGAACACTTCTTCAGAACAGATTCAGAAAACATCCACCAAGAATTGTCTTGGAATATTTATTCTTCCTTAGAGAATGAGGAAGATAGATGACATGAGATTCAGCACTAAATTTCTATTATTCTACATTATTTACCAGACTAAATCTATTACATTGCATACATATGTTGATTAAAATGGCCTGTATAGATATTATTCTATAGTCAATCAGGGCATGATTGTTGCCCTCGAGTATAATTTGCCTTCAAACAATTTGCAGACTGTTGCTAAACATTATAAAAGAGAAAGATCAGCAGTCTGCCTGACAATAGTTGGGAATGGTTTGTGTAAAGAGGCCAATGGGACATGATATCCAGAGCTTGCAGAGTACCGCACTGCGCCCCTGAGTTGTACAATTACTGCTGGCATAAGTAAGAGCCGTATTATTATATTCCCAAACTTCTATGTCTGAATTTGGCATCTTTAATTCCCCAACCATATTTAATTTAGCTATTTAACATATGTTTGCATGTTTGTGGGAGACAGTGTGATTTGTTTATTTTAAAGCCAAATTGTCCCCTGGGTGTGCTACACGGACAAAGGAAAAGAAGTTTGGCTGCATTAAATAAACAAACAACAGTAAAATCAGATTTAAAAGTCTGTTTTCTCAGAGGAAAACAGATTTAGAATGGTAGAGTCCAAACTACGCTTCTCTAAAGGCCTGTACTCCATGACAAGTATAAGGATAATCAAAAAAGTACAGAAAAAACTACCTGTCCGACCAAGAATTTTAACCGCTGTGATATTTATAGGATCAAGACCCTGCAGCTTAATGATTAATGAAGATTGACCATACCTGCTTACTTGCAGAGTCAGACAAGAGTAAATGAGCCATAAGGAGGTTGTAAAACGCAGAGCAAAGCCCTCGCAGGGCAAACTCGTGGCAGCCACTTACCGCACGCTCATCCTTTGCAGTGGGCTGCAGCACGACTGTGACCACTGAAAACGTTTTTCCAGGCCGAGAGTACTATGTCCATATCAGTCACTGAGATGTTAGTCCTTATTTAACACCTTGCTACTACAGCACATACCCCTCTACAGTACTTTGAAGCATTATACCTGTTGATCAGTTTAACACTCAACAGCTGTGCAAAATAGAAGCCACAGCTCCAATGGGATCTTGACCTGAGTGCAGAGTGTGGATTCAGGTTTTCCCCATGAAAGACATTGCAACCCACACTTCATGATTTGAAAGTGGCACTCATCTGCTTGAAAATATGGTTGTTTACAGTCTCTGAGGCATGGGGAGAAAGCATATGTCGTATTTGGTCAATTTTCATTTCTTTCTATCCTGGTTGTACTGCAAAGTCTTGCTAATATGAATGAGGCACTTTGCTTCATGCAGTGTATTCAGGTGATTTGTTTTGACTGTTATTTGAACAGTATATATGTCTCCTCATATAGGCTTAGGCCAATAGTCCAGAAGTAGCATTTAGTGTCTTGACACTATTCAGGAATTTTCACTGAGTTCTGTTCCACTAGGTAGTTCATTGAATAACATATTCTCCATCTGAGCACAGAAAATACTTCACTGCGAGTGGCATGCAAGTTATTGTATACACAGTTTGTTTTTTTACTCTGCACAGCTATTTAGACACCATTAGGATCTTCATATTGTAATAAAAACACAGTGCAAACCTTGAAATAAACATCTTTTTTCCTCCTCTAGTTACTAGCACCTAGCCATGATACAAGAGACATTGGTATTTATCACTATAAGCATTCAGTGGATACTTAAATCTTAAATCTGTATCAACACAGGCAGAACTGGTAGATGTTATCTGAATGAACTTCAGTTAATTGTGCTAATGTGGGATGAGCACAAGTACTGCTTGTGCCACAGAAATACAAACTTACTAATGTGTAAAATTTGAAACTCTCATCCACCAATTAGAATACTGATTTCTGATTGTAATCCATACAATAAAGCTAATTAAACAACCTTCCTTCCACTTAGATCCATTAGGCTTTTTTTTGATCTATATAGAATTTCCATCTGCAGCCCACTCTGCTGACTTCAAAATTCCTCTGTACTTCAGCAAAGCTTAGCGACTTTCTCGCTACATTGTGAGTTAGACATACACCTGGCCATAATGGCACAACTCAGGCTAGGTCTTTCCCAATAGCCACAGCTATAGAGATGTTAACAACTGAAATACAGAAATGAATGGTGAAAAGTTTCTTTTAAAATAGACGAAGCACCGCCATTTCTACTTGTTAACAGTAGCTGATGTTTCAGTGTCAGCTTATTCTTAAAAAAAAAATTGTCCACTTTAAACAGAGTTTAATATTATTTCTTCCAAATAATATTATGAAATTGTGTAATTTTAAGGAAGATAGTGTTATTCCAACATCAAATAAGTTCTCACTTGTTCTAGATTTTCTTACAAAATGTATGAAAACGAGAAAGAGGCCTCTAGGTAAACTCAATAGGAAAACAGGGCAAATACATATTGAGTTCGTGCATCATATTTGCTAGATACAAAAAACAGAAGATGCTTCAGGAAGAGATGCTAGGATTAAGTTGATTTCTGTCTCCCTGGAGATCATCAAAATTAGAACTTTTGAGTATTTCCCTTGAAAACTTAGAAATGCTGCTTTGAGGCAAGTAAAATCTTCTATAAATCTTTATTAAAATTAGTATCAATATTATTACCCATCCTGTAAATTATAGAAATATTGTTGAATAATATTGATTAAGTTTGGAAAGTCAAATAGCAAACAATGCCTCATCTGAGAATCAACAAACCTACATAATTTCTACCTATTTTCATAAATACGATGCATATTCTCAATTTCCAGAATTCTTTTCATGCAATGTGATTTTGAAATAGCTGGAAATACTATTTTGTGAATCATCACTCTGGATTCTGATCCTTTTAATAAAGAACATTTCATCCCACTGAATGTGTTCATTAAGTAAAGTACTACTGAGCATCAATAAAACAGCAGAATCTAATTTTGACTGATAAAACAGTCATTACAGCTGTGGCAAACACACTTCTCATAGTCATAATCTACATCTGAATGGACAAAAATATCTAGGCAAAGAAATACAAAAAGGAAGATGTGAATAAAACAATTTTCATATTCACTTTGGATAACAAATTCAGGTATCCTAGGCTCTAGTTCAAATAACTGATGCTCATGTTTAACTGTAAGAATGTGGGAAGGCAAGCTGAAGTCAAGGTACAAAAGCCTTGACCTCTTGAAGAGGTTGCATGGAATATAAAATATGCTATGTTGTTCTCATGTCAACATCCACAAATATTTTTGCTTACTTAAGCACAGTCTGCATTCTGCTGTGCATATAAAATCTCTGTGTGAACCAAGCATACAGTAAGGAAGATGCCTAGATGTACAGCTCAGGGAAAGTTCTCTCACCTGAAAAGTGCCTGCATGGTCTTCTTCTTTGTCACCTTCTTTTCCTTCTTTGAGAGCAATTAACGTGAATCCTCGAAAGTAAGCAGGAGTGGCAGCAGAAAGTGTCACTGAGATATAACAAACAGAGAAACAATGAAAACATAATATTGACTGTGAAATCAGCCACTTGCATATCATTTCACAGTTCAACTTGAAAGGTGTGTGTTTTAAGTCGGTATTAACAGAAGCTAGAGCACTAACAACATGGAGCAGAGCCAGCCAGAATACAAAAATGTTAAAGTCCAAGTTTCCACGTAAACTGAAAAACCCTGGCATGATGTGAAATATCTCCGCTACTTATTTTTTTTCACACAACTCCCCTCTTTTTTGCCCCCCCCCTCCTTTTTTTTTTTTCTTTTTTTTTTTTGTTAAAAAGTAGATCGCTAATCTGCTCAGATCTACAGAAGGGTTATTTTGTTGGTGGGGATGTTTTGGGGGCAGGGACACGCTTGTTTGGGGTTTGTTTTTTCTTTAGGGTTTTCTCGAGGTTTGGTTTTTTTTGTCAGTTTGGGTTTTTTTTTTTTTTTTGGGGGGGGGGTGTTAAATTGAATATTTGGCCTCAGCTTTTGTCCTGCTCTGAGCTTAGACAAGGATCTAGGCATTTTAGTACACAGAAAGGTTCTTTACCTGTAAAGCAAGATGACCATATTGCCTGCCTCAGCTCAGCTACACTTGACAGAGTACTCCAGCTGGTGGAGATGGTCACCCTAAAACTGTCCTTCCTCTCCCTTAACCTCAGGGCAGACAGAACAGGACACAAAGTTAAAACTCATGGCTGAAGCTGACCTCTAAAGACTGTGTTAGCAGCTCTGATTGCCAAAGCATCCTACACATCAGCAAAACACCCTTCTTCACATATCAGTCCTGATCAGGAAGGTGTCATTGGATCCACCAGCACAGAACAAATAACGGAATGCTGACTAATCTGATTTTACCATGCTCAGCATCAGGATTACGTCCCTCATTTTCTGCTACTGCAAGATACTTTTGTATGATTTTTTTCCATTCACCATCATCAGTACCTAAGCACCACCCAGCAACACTTGAGTTACATCAGCTGTGGCTCTTTTGAACACTACCAGGAAGATGGAAAGAGGCAGAGCTTAGAGGTAGGACTTTAGGGGGAGTTTTAAAATTACTGAACCCTTTTCAACACCTTATAGGAATCCTTTTCTGAAACAGAAGTGAATTTTAGGGAAAAATTCTTTTTAAGTTAAAGGAAAAGAGATAGAAAACTGGACTACTAACACTCTTAAGTAGCTTTTACTTTAAGCATAATGCAGACAACATTGTAGTACACTATTGTCACACTCTCAAACCCTGACTAGCACAATAAAAACTGAAGACCACCCAGAGTTTTCCTGAGCAAACTGCAACTACCAATGCTGTTTCATAGACGAGTATTCACAAGAGACTCCCTCTCACACAAATAGACTATGAGGGGTTGAATCACATTACTAAAAATGACAGATTGCCCTTAAAAGATACAGATTTCAAAACAGGCCCAGAGTTCATTTGGAACATATGGAGAGCTCTTTGATCTGGAAATTCAGTAGTAGAAAAATATAAAATAGGATATTTGAAGATTTCTAGCTTTATACAGCTGTATCTGGGTCTAAAAACCACGGTGTTTGCACAAATACCTAACTTTTCTGACTGTATGTGAAAGAAGGTGGACTGGAGAGAATAATTTCAGTTTTTAAACTCTTTTGTAAGTGCCATGCTTAGACCTGTACACCTGCAAACAGCTGTACAAATCTAGAGTAGTGATGGGCATAATAGCAAGTCCCCCACCTCTCAAGTTTTTCAGCACACTTTTCATTTCATGGAACCTTATTATGAGGTTAAACCTCATCATTTTGGGGGAGAAAGAGACTTTCACAATTTATATACAGGAAGCAAATAGTAGTCTAATAGCATTAAAATTTCTGGTTGCACTTCTAAGTATTGCTCCAATTCATTAATTCATTATCTGCCCAATAAATAGTATTATTAGTCCAATTTTGCAAACTTCTGCAGTTCTATTTAAATGAAAATCCACAGCTAGACTCTCAGTTGCAGTAATTGAGAGCAGCACACTGCTGAACTCTACAAGGATGAACACATTATACTTGCTTGAACACCAATTCTTAGAAATTAATTGCCTTAAAGGTCTTTTACATGCAACAATTTTTCCATATATTATATGTAATTCAAAACTCTGAATCACTATGAGTAAAAGGTTACACTAGAAACACTTACATACTTATGCATGCAAACAGAGACTCCAGCTGTGAATTGACTCAACAGTTTTCATCCTTTTCCTCACAAATTTACAGACTAGATCAAACAGTTTTCAAAATTCTAAACAAACACCTACCAATAAAATAGAGGACATCTGAAATGCTACAAAAGCCATCAGCAAAAAAGAAAAAAATAAGTAAGGTAATTCCAAAGCCTGACTCATTTTTTGAATGCCTGGGGTTAGCAATACTCATGCTGTGGTTGCACAGTCATTTTAAATGAGAATAAATCCATGCTTCCTCCAACATGAGTGATCCTGCCCTCCCCCACCCTGCACCACTCGTACAGCACCCGCATCCACGCAGCTGGGCCATAAGCTGAACCAGGGAACACAGCCAGCTGAAAAGTAAAACAAAACAAACAAAAAAAAAACCCACAGGAGAGTTCAGCTGGGTCTAGTCCCTGAGCAGCAGCACCGTGCAGCCCCAGGAGAGCTCCAGCCAGTGGCAGGGACACCCAGATACAAGTGAGGGGCTGGGAGGGTGATGACCTGCAGGACGCTAAGATGAACGTGCGCTTTGGTCACTGCTGAGCTAGGCCAGAACAAACGTTAACACCTGACCTGAAAAGATTTCTGTGACTTCTCTGAACTATCCAGTATGCTAAGAGAACATCGCAGTGCAAGGCTTTGAGACACTCCTAATCGCAGAGTCTTGTTACGGTGATGGTTCTGTAGCCACTGGACTGGACTGATTGTTTCAGCACAGATAAAGGAGGTTTGCATTGCACAGGCAGCAGTGGGAAGTTGCCAGACTACATCTGGGTTTCACAAGAGGTAGTGGCTCCTCATTGTGTAAGAGTTGAGAGTTCTTCTTGGGCTGAACCCTGTGCCCTTTTAAAGAACAGTTGAGTATTGCTCATATTGCGTTCACATTAATTAATGTTCATGGAACACTATGAATTTCCCATAAAGATCAGTTAAATTTCAGTGCAAATCTCAAAGTTAAGGATTTTACTTTAATAGGAAGATTACATATCAACAGTTACTTTTGTCTGCTTCCATCCCCTCCGGCAAATCTCTAATTACCTTACAAGTTGCACTTTGGCACACACCTTCAACGCACTCCTCTTTCCCCAGTGTCCCCACCTAAAGGTGGGGTGATCAAAGCAATTGCTCCTTTGGTTTCAGGCAGGAAATGTGACTTTCCACATCCTACGCTACAGCACATCCTGTGTTGTACATTGCACAAGTACCAACAAATACACTTTTAATATCTACTTTTATCCATAATTTGTGAAACATAAGAATCGCTAAAATATTTACAGAATGAGGTAAAGTATGTAAAGTATAGAAAAGAGTGTTTTCATGTTGGGGGGAAGAAAGAAACAGAAAGAAAAAGATTCAACATTCCTTCGTCTCTGAGCTATGGAGTGTGTAACATTAACCGAGCTTGTCCTTGAAAACGGAGTTGAACAGACCTACAAGTGGAAATTCCATTAAAAACAGAAACAGCATCCTCATAGAAGGTATAGCTAAGGACTACACGGTCAAATTCTCATTTTGTTCAACAGAATAACAGTTTCAGAAAATTATGGAAGAAACTATGTACATTGCACGTTAGCATGTGAAATGGACATACTACTGCTTTTTTTAGCAGCAATTTCATTTATATTTTTATTAGGATGAAACTTACCCCATTTTTCATGGAAATCTCATGCAATTGTTAACTTAACTCTACAGATCAATAAAGCTAGGACTGAGTACTTTCAAGGATCATTACCCCATAACACCATCTAAACTTAAGGCTCATTTGTGCCCTGTGAATGCAATGGGAACTTTGACCTTCAGTGGAAGCAAGAGCAGCTACATGAAGGTCTAAGTTAACCAGCAAGTAGGAGAGGACCTCAATCCCGGGATGGTGTACCCACAAATCTGGTACTATGGAAAGACCTGCCCACTGCATGCATTTGACTGCCTGCTCCTCAAGGGGAGAGGCAACAACATTGCAGCTTGAAAGACCAAGTAGATGAAGGCCACTTACAGGCTACAGCATCAAGAGTCCAAAATAAGATGTTAGAAATCAGTCATATCACCTCCCCCGTGGGACATCACGAAGCCCATAGCCATTGTTGCTTTTTTAGACATGATGGAGGAAAGGAGGATGGCTCCTGAGCCCTGCTGCTACCTCATTTTTAATTGCCTGAAACAGGAGAAAGTTTCCTTACTTACTGCTGCCAGTGTTTGCAAATCAGAGGAGGCACATACTCATCCAAAGAGGTTATTCAGTCCTCAGGGCCAATTTCCTCTATCGCAGCTCTGGAGAGGTGGAAAACCAAAGATTTCATATACATAGATCCACCCAGGATTTCCCCTTAGGGCAAGTAGATCCTGGTTGATCTAAAGGTGAGTAACTGCAGGAAAGCCGTAAGAATTTTCCCAAAGACAAATGGCAGCTGTGAACTGTGGTGTCTTCCGATTCCCACACTGCAGGGGTGCAGCTCCTTTCCTCTAGGCATTGCAGCTTGAGGGTCTTACGTGGGTGTCATGTCAACCAATGATCGAGAGAGTCATGAACATAAATGGATGTCTCTACACCACCAATTTGGTGGAGTATGGCATTTGTATATACGGTTAATTCCCACATTATCCACCTTGCATAAATCCTAGTTTATTCCAGGAGCCTGCTAGGAAATGTGCCAAGGATCCAGATTGCATTAAATCAAACAGGGGCCATGGAAACACGCACATTTGGCTCCAATGCAATGGAGGTTGTGCAAATCTTCTGCAGCGTTGTACATCTAGTAATTTACAGATAAAAAAAACCTCACAGAACTGCCATAAACCTGCATTTTTTTATCATTAGTTGGATTTCCTAACCTTTGTATAAAACAATAAGAAAGTTCCAGAATTTCCTTTGAAAATAAGCTCTTGAAACTTTCTGTAATGCTGCTAGCTTTCACTACTGCCATAGACAACATATATGTTATGGTAATACTTATGTTCTTCCAACCATTCGGTCCTTAAAGGACTACCTAGATAAGCCCATCTGTCACCTGAATACTTTAATCTTAAATACCAAATACTTGGGCATATATTTTGGTCTGCATTTTAACTTTTTATTATTAGTTGTAATTTTCTCATTTCCAAGAAGATACATACATACACACTAATATATATATGCACACACACAAATGATTTTATTAATGGAGTTTCTAACACCAAGACCTAGTATCTCCACAAAATTAGTTCTGCTAATTCCTCTAGGAGATTTTTCCTCTTAAATTTCCATGTAAGAAAAACTTCTTTAGTAGAAGATTCCAACATCTGAAAATATCCAATAATGCTTTCTCAGAAGTAAATTTCAAAACTTTTTAAGGACGTTCACTTTTGTCACTGTCAAAGAACTTGACACTTCTCTTTATCCAGCTTAGTGGATGTATCAAACTGACATGCAACATGGAATCTTTCAGACTCAAGATATTAATCCTAATGCGTGGACCAGTTAACCAATTTCTGGGAAATGTGCATTTCCTCACACCACATTAAAATAAATCAATTCTTGAGACAAAAATATTAATCAGAAATCATGCAAAGTTACAGGCTGATGTTCTAAACAGGTTAGCCACTGCTGCAGATGTATTTTTCAGCCTTTAAGAGAACATGATGATTATGCTATGTGCACGCTTTTTTCTCCCTATCTATACCAAGATTCCCATGTTCATACAATGGGTAAACATTGCTCTTTACATTGAATCTAAGGAAGGTCAGCAGAAACACTTAGAAGAAACTCTCAAAATTTGTTTTCCAAAGTGATGCCTATAAAGTACATTAGTTATGGTAGCTAAAAATGTCCACATTATTTTCAAAGTGCTTTTAAAATACAAAGTTAACAGTACACTCCAAGAAGGTTTGTTTCCAAAGGCATAATATGGCAAGGCAGGAAAAGTGACCAAAAAGTGCCTTCGCCTGTTAATTAGAAAAATACACTGAAATGTGCTTTGGACATTAATTTCAAAGATTGTATGTGAAATGTTCAGCAGAGATTGAATGCCTCCGTCTCTTATTTACAGTGGTCATCAGCACTGTCTCTGCCTCTTTTCTGTTTGAACCATCTGTTCACTTCCCCAGAAAAAAAAAAAAAATCAGGGTGGGATAAACATAAGTGGAAAATGTGGGAAGTTGGCAGCATGCTGCATCACTGTTTGCCCATATGCTAACTCATTATATTAACATTCATATTTCAGGGCAAGAACAATTAGCTCCAAGTTTCCTCTCTCCTGCTGA